GAGTGAATACACATATTTATTGTAAACGGTATTTCCCACAGAGAAAGGATCTTAAAAAATTTATATTTCAGAATCTGGGAAGTGTTCTCAAGTTTTAAATCATTTATAATAAATATAGGCAGCAAAATCACTTGTTGATTTCATCAGAAGAGCTGTAAAGAGAAAGGATGGAGGGGTGATGGGCAGCGGAATCATCATATTGTACATAGCTAATTATATGCCATTTGCTTAGATACAGTCACCATCCAAAGTTTTTTCTTTTTTTTAAGGAAAAGGAGGAGGAAAGATGCAAGAATGTAGATAAAGCATTAAAACTTTTTTTTTTTTTGATGAAGCATTAAAACTTCGACATGGATAATTCATTTCAATACAACAACAACAACCTTATCTCACTCGGTGAAGTCAGCTACATGGATTACACAATGTCATTAGGCTTGGTTGAAAACCAAATTCTCATAAATATTATTCCTCATCCATGCAATAATGTAGCAAGGAAAACTAATACTACTTTCAGCACAAGAAATATAATGAAGTGCATAGGAAGCAAATTACCTCAAATAAACATATATTGGGAGAAATAAATATATTACTGGAACCAACAATCATATGCCTTTTCTTTTAGCCTTTTCAACTTGTGACCATTAGATTATATTGTTAAGATAACGATTGTGGCATAAGATATGTTTGGTAGAAGCTAAACCTGAAAGTGTAGTCATCTCGTCATCCTTGTCAAGTTCCATTTCAGAGGAATCTGAATCAGCATTAGCGGAACCAGTTTCAAAAGAATCAGATTCAACAACATCCATAAAAGCAGATTCACTCTCTTCAGCCAAAGAACTGCAATAAGCATACTCCCCTCCAAGTTGTGAAGCTGGCATTGCAACATTGGCAGGAGTCTCCTTGTAATCCAGAGAATCACTAGACTCTGCTGCCAGATAAACACATTTGCTTCTCTTTGCTCGGTGCGCTAAGCCTACTTGCCCCAGTCCTGAAAACAAAAAATAAACCACTATATTAAACATTTCTGGCTCCATCAATCATTTACTTTTTCTTTTATCTAAATAATTTTACCATTAGCTTGAATTGTACTTCCTATGCAAAAGACTCATCACTTGCTAGATTCAGAGCACAATCATCAACTATTAGTTTGATAAACATTCGGATCATCAGAGGATGGGTATTGCCCTCTCAAAAGGCAATTGTGAGCCCAATCCTCTTCACCAAAATGTGTTGCATGCGATTGTGTAATATCTATTTTGATTTTTATATATGACCTAAAATTGGTCTAGTCAGAAGCAATACCTATATTCTCTTGCTTCTTTAACATTTGCCTCTCGAGTTCAAGAGCATGAAGAATGGCATCTTCTCTGCGTGCATATTTCTCTCTTTTCTTTAACGGCATACCCTGTGCAGACTCCGCTCTTTCGATACAACCATCAAATTCACCACATCGAAATGCCTTCACGCGCTTGGATTTCTCCAAATTGTACCAATCTCTGTTAAAAAAAAAAACCAACAACCCACAGGTGGAAAGAAAATCAACAAAAATACTAACAACAATCAAAAAACCGACACATCAGCACATTGGATGTCACAAAAACAAGCCTCGATAATTTTCTGCGTCACACATTTGAAAGTTGAAACATACTCACACTCTAGCAGTCACATACACTTTCACTAAACGGATATTAATTTAAATTGCCAGTAGCTAAACTAAGCAGCACTATAATCAACAAAACATGAAGCACATTGAAACACATATGAACTGTGGAATTTCAAAAAATAATAAATAAACTGAAAAAAAAAAGGAAGAAAAAAAACGTAATTACACGCTTGCATCTTCTCTTCCGAGAAGCTTAACGGGAGTTCCTGAACGAGGTGAGGTGAGATGAGAAGCAGAAAGGTGATCAGGACCAAGTATTTGACCCGGCCACCACGAACCGTTCCTTCTCCGAACCCACACAATCGATCCAACGTCGCAATCCACTGAACCTAACCCCGAACTCTCCATTTTCCCCCTCACTCTCCCTTTCGCTCTCTTTCGCTTCCCCAGTTTCTCTCCTTTCCTTTCTCTCTCTCTCTCTAAAGACGAACGGAGGCGGAGGCTCAGCCGCCGGCGAAGAAAGGCGATGAACGGAGCACCCGGGAACCGTCGTAAGTGGATAGTCCGATAAGGGCGATGTGGGTTAGGGCACAGGATTCCATTCAGATTTGGGAAATTTCATTTTTAGGGTTTTCAATTTTGACTTTGCTTGATTAAAATTCCGCACAAAAAAAATGTTTGAATCTTCTAGAAGCACCAGACTTTGAACATGTTGGATTTGGTTAGTCACAAACGTGGGTCTTGCTCGTGCAATGTTTTTGAATGTGCACACGTAACGCGTGACTTTAATTAACCCAGTTAAATGTGGCACCTTATTTTCATGTGAAATTTACTAAAGTATTACAATATTTGTTTCAAAAGGTTTTTTTTCGCTAACATCGTCTATCTTTTATTTTTTAATATATAAATTAAAATAATTATCTTAAACTATAAAGTTTTTAGGGATTGTATTTTTTAATATATTTGATCTCTTATATTTTCTTATTTATATTTTTAATTTAATTTTAATATTTTGAAATTCAATATTAATAATTAAAATAACTGTACAATACAATATAAATTAATTATCAAATAATTATAATATAATTTATATTTTATTAGAGAGGTCGAGGCACTTCGTACCTCTAATAATTATACATAAACAAATATTAGAAATTTTAGAAAATATAAGATTTTTTTTTTACATTCAAGGTATAATAATAATAAGTAATGTAAAATTATTTATACGATTGTATTATTTATCTAGTAGGACCGAGACATTTCGTATTGGATAATTCATGCAAAGGGGATATGTTTATACGAATCGAAAGGAACAGAAATAGTTTGTGCATATTTGTTCCTCCATTCTTTTATTTTTTTTATTTATCTGGTAGGAAAAAGACACTACGTGCCTGCATTGTATTAAAATAAAAAATAAAAAAAATAATAAAATGAAAAGTTACTCATAAAAAAAATAATTATTAAAAAATTAATAAAGGATAAAATGGTCCATATAAAAATGAAAATAAAAAAATAATTATTGACAATGATATTCTCTTTATATATTAGTATAGATTTATTAGTTTAAAGTTTTAAAATTTGATTAAAAATATTATTTCTAATTTTTTAAAATAAAATGGTATAATGGTCAAAAAAAGTGAAGACCAAGATAGTTATCGAAAAGGGTATCTCCTTTATATATTAGTATATATTAGTATAAATTCATTAGTTTGAAGTTTTTAAATTTGATTAAAAATATTTTTTCTAATTTTTTAAAATAAAAAGATATAATGGTCCAAAAAAGTGGAGACCAAGGTAGTTACCGAAAAGGGTATCCCCTTTATATATTAGTATAGATAAATATTTATTTATTACAAGTTTTAATTGAAATATAACATATTTATATATTTAAAATATTTATTTATTATATAAATTTAACTTGTGGAGTTTATAAAAATAAATGCATTATCATTGTCCTCTCGTAAAATAATCCTCTAACTCTCCTTAAAAAAAATAAATTAAACACATTTATATACATTATTTATGCACTTATTTATTAAGAATATTTATACTACTCGAATTAAATATTTTTATGGTATGTCAAAAGCATATTTTTTATCAATCAGAAAGTTAAACAACAAAACAATAAGTTAATTTCTAATATGAAGTGTCCTAAACCCTAAATCCAAAGTATTCACTTTGGTTTCTTCATTAAATTTGATACAAAGTTAGTAAAATACCATTATTATAAAATTATTTTATAGAGTAGTTTTAAATTTTTTATACAGTTAAATTTGAGATTAAACTCAAAGTGAAACACAAACTTTGCAAGTTTAACACTAAAAAATCGTGAATAACTTATTTGTTTAGTCAGTAATAAAAAAATTAATAACCTTTGTTATTTATATATTAACCAATAAAATATGTATAACTTTATTGACAATATTAAAGATAGTTTTTTTTTTTTACAAGATTCTCAATTCAAATCTTTTGAATGAAAAAACATTATTGAGAGGAATAATTTTATTAAAAGTAGGTTAGTCAAATTGTTTGACAAAATTAATTATTAATAACCTCAATTAATATTCTAAAGCTATAATATGGTAATTAAAATTATAGTCAAATGAATGCAAGGAATTAACCAATATTTGAAACTTGAACGGTAGTTGAGTAGGTGAACAAGGCAAAAAAAAAACTCATCATTTTTAAGGTGAAATTGTTAAATTATTTGACAAAAATATTCCTACTAATTTACCATATATTAAATACCATCAATTATTTTGTATGAAAGTATTTATATATTTTTAGACATTTTTTTCAATGATTTTTTTATGAATTCTTTAAATTCTATATTTAATTTCATTTTTATTTATCATATTTATTAATTAATTAATTTTTATTATTTTAAAATAAATTATTAATAATTAAAAATATTATTTATCATAAATATAAAGCTGAAAATATAATTTATATATTTAAAATATTTATTTATTCAAATTTAAAATATAATTTATATATTCAAATATAACATTTACTTAAATTTTAATTACATATAATAAATATTTAACTTACTTATTTTACATATTAAAATACTGGTTAAAAAAATTTTAAGAATATATTTGACTAAAATAGTGTGGGAAAAAATTGACGTATTTTACCATTTAAAGTTTCAAGGTTTTTTTTTTTTACTGAAAAAAAAAAAGTAAAACAAGATTATAACCTGCTGGTGTCAATTTATCAATGCGAATAAAAGGACAACATGGTAAATATGCGATATAACGGCTATATCCATAAACAATGAAAAATAGCCGTTGCCGCCGTTTAATCAATTCAATCTTTGCAAAACCCTAATTCCTATTTCTTCGTGTCACCATCTCTACTATATATATAACCCCATTTAAATACTTTCATCATTCAAATCTTTATCTTTCTCTTCTCCTTCTCTGCATTCCAACATTCATTTCAAGCCCTCTCTAATCAATCTCTGACATTTTTTTGTTACTAATCAATTCGATTTGATTTCGTTTTGTCTAATAATCTGTTTTTGCAGGATTTTGTGTTGTGCTTTATTTTATTTTTGATTGCGCTATTTTCCATATTTTTTCTGTTCTTTTTCTCTCTTTTGTTTTCGGGTGTTTTTTTCTTCTCCTACCTAACAATGGATGCAGGTTCTTTGAGTTCTTCCTCAACCATCAAAACACGATCACGCTACCCGCTCCAGGAACAATTTATTCAAAGAAAGAGTTCCAAAGAAAACGTAAGAAATTATTGCAATCTTTTTCTCCCTGATTGTAATTCGTGTTTAACTTACACAAGTTCTTGATTTCTCTGCAAACTTCTTCAACTAGGGTTTTAATGGTAATCATTTGGTTAAATAAATTTAGGTTCCAACTAGGGTTTCGTAACTAGACATGATAAGTCTTTATTTCTCTTTCAGAATTGTTTGAGAAAAACAAGTATTGATTATGTGGTGTTTGTTTTTTATACAACATCAGTTGGACAGATTCATACCAAATAGGTCGGCAATGGACTTTGATTATGCTCACTATATGCTCACTGAGGGGAATAAAGGTAAGGAAAACCCAGTTGCGAGCTCCCCATCTAGAGACGCTTACAGGAAGCAGCTTGCAGAATCCTTAAATATGAACCGGACCCGAATTCTTGCTTTCAAGAACAAGCCACCTGCTCCAGTTGACTTAATGCCTCATGAGATCTCTGCTCATCCCCAGGATAATAAACTGGCCAAGGCCAGACGGTTTATTCCTCAGGTGCACTACTTAGATCAGATTAATCTTTCATTGATTTTATTATACATAGAAACGGCCAATTCATTGTTAGTTGGGACTTTATAAATTCAAGTGAGTCTGAGTTTTTTAATCTGAATTGACTGGGTTTGTGATCAGACTTCTGAGAGGACTTTGGATGCTCCGGATCTTGTGGATGACTACTATCTGAATTTACTGGACTGGGGAAGTGGCAATGTTCTTGCAATAGCACTTGGAAGCACAGTGTACTTGTGGGATGCATCAGACGGTTCTACTTCAGAACTTGTTACTGTTGATGATGAAAATGGCCCCGTTACATCTGTTAGCTGGGCACCTGATGGAAGACATATTGCTGTTGGTTTGAACAACTCTGAAGTGCAACTATGGGACACAACTTCAAATAGACAGGTGTGTTTGTCTTGATCTTCAAAAAGAAAAACCCTGTAAATTACTCACTCTTCGTTTCTAGTACAACTAATGTAATACTTGTTTAATTTTGCAGTTGAGAACATTGAAAGGTGGGCACAGGCAGAGAGTGGGGTCTTTGGCATGGAACAACCACATACTCACAACCGGAGGGATGGATGGTAGAATTGTGAACAATGATGTAAGAATTAGATCACATGTTGTTGAAACCTACAGGGGGCACGAGCAAGAGGTCTGTGGGTTAAAATGGTCGGCTTCAGGCTCCCAATTAGCCAGTGGAGGGAATGATAATCTACTTTACATCTGGGACAGAGCTGCGGCATCTTCTAACGCGGCAACACAGTGGCTTCACAGGCTTGAAGATCACACATCTGCTGTGAAAGCCCTTGCTTGGTGCCCCTTCCAAGGGAACTTGCTAGCTTCTGGTGGAGGCAGTGGTGATCGCTGCATCAAGTTTTGGAATACCCACACAGGTGCATGCTTGAACTCAGTTGACACTGGGTCTCAGGTATGTTCCCTGCTGTGGAACAAGAATGAGAGGGAGTTACTCAGCTCTCATGGTTTTACTCAGAATCAGCTAACACTTTGGAAATACCCTTCGATGGTGAAGATGGCAGAGCTCACTGGTCATACTTCCAGAGTTCTTTTCATGGCCCAGGTAATTTATTTTTGGACTTTGTTTAGCACAATCCTCATTAGATTGTCGTTTTCTAGGATTTTGCTGATTAGTGTTATGTTATTTTTCTTCAGAGTCCAGATGGTTGCACTGTAGCATCAGCAGCCGCAGATGAAACATTGAGGTTCTGGAATGTGTTTGGAGCTCCAGAAGCAGCAGCCAAAGCTGCACCAAAAGCGAGAGCTGAGCCATTTTCAAATGTGAGTCGGATACGATGAGCAAAGCAAGTAAATATTTGTTACTCCCACGGACTTAACAGGATTGATAGCAGCTGTAAATCGATCCATCTATCCACAATATATTTGATTAGGTAATTGCTGGCATCCGGGACGATTTGTTGTATATTTAATCCAGAAACATCCTGGGATCAGTGCCAAGCAATTGCTGTTGGAGAGGCAATAAACAGAGGGTGAAATTTGTGGGACTTTGATGTACATTTGTAACATATTATCAGTGGAAAAAACATCATCATTTTTTCCGTGGACGTAGTCACACACACCCGTGACGAACCACGTATGTCGCTCTTCTTTCTGCTTTTCTTCCTGGTTTTTCTTGTTTTGACACAATATAAAATTTAATTTAATCAATCATGAATCATGTAATCTAATGATGAATACCGGACACGCCTCGCATATGACAAGGACAAAAATAAGCTGTCAGTGTCACCCTAAGGAAACCACATCCAGGATATCTAAGACAAGTAGTGTTCAACCCATTGGGCATCCGAACACTCCATCACTTTGAACTTAGTGTACTTGCTGCAAAAAGTACTCCGTTAGTCTTCGGTTTTCAGTCTTCAACGTTTTAAATGGCTGGTATTGACAAAAAGGACTCTACAACGAGTTACAATTTGTCAATAATAAAGGAACGTACTCGACCTTCTAAAATGTCCTATTTGATTAAGCGAGTAATATCCTGAACCTATGCAGTCAAGGGATACCTTTTTGGTAGTTGAACCTTATAACTTAGTATTCGGATTAAGTAGTTGAACACTTCATAGCTTACTTAGAGCATATGCAGTAGAAGTTGTTTAAGCAATCTCCTGTACCACATCATGCATATCAGTTCTTTTCTACTTTATAAGTTGCTTAAATAGCAAAGCTTGTAGAAGTTTCGGTGCTAAAATTTAAGCAACTCATAAATTGAAAAAGAGCTGATGTGGCATGATGTGGCAGAGGGGTTGCTTACTTATAAGCAACTCTCATTGATATGTTCTTAGTATTTGGACAATTAGGTCATGACCTATATACAAAATACAGTTAAAATTTTCGATAAAATTAATTTGATTTTTATACAATAAATTTTTAGTTAAAATACTTTTTCCTATATAACTTTCTATATTTTATACCCTATAATTAAAAATATACATATTTTTAGTTCCTACACTTATTATATTTTTCAACCATTTTAATTCTATAATTTAACCTAGACTTTTTTCGTCTTATATTTGCAGTTTTTTAATCTTGTAATCTTTGTTAATTTTTTTTTGTAATATTGACTCTTTTGTATTAATGTAATAGGTATCAATTTAATTTTGTGTATATGATGTCACATTTATTTTATTTTAAATTAGGTCTTTATATCTCTTTTGTACCTTCACTTATAACACAATATTACTTTTTTTAACTATGAAAATTTAAAAAAAATTAAAAAATTACAAGTATAGGAAAGAAAAGATCTATCTCAAACAATAGACACTAAAAAAATTGAAAAAAGATTGAAAATAAATAAGTATAAGAACTAGAAAAATATTCATTTTAAACTATAAAAAGATTGAAAAATAAATAAGTATCAAGTAAGTAAAACTATATATAAACTTAAAAAAAAAAAATATTTTAAGCTACATTTTTTAACACCCTTGTCAAGTAAGAGGGATAGATTGGCTCAGTAAAATGGCTTAAATCCCAAACATACTATATAAAAATTTGTTCTTTCCTGAGAAAACATTCCATGTTTATATTTTCAATAACATTGATAACTTGATAGAAAACTAGATATGAAGACATGTATTCAGATTCAAAAGTCCCACTCCTAAGAAACGATGAGATGCTTCAATTATACAAAACCTGGGCAGCTTAGATGGATTAAGACGAACTTCCATCATAGTACAAAGGTTCAAAACCAACCCGGAATTCTCAACAATGAGAATGAATCATCTTGTATAAGTTTAGGATAGTGGCCAGACTCCTCCCCCTTATCGTATTTGACAACTCTGGTTTTGATACAAGATTTGATTAATTTTAAGAAAAAATTTAATTGGCTTTGCTCAAATCAAACCAACCGCTATTCCTTAAAAGATGTAGATTGCTCAGCAGGTTAACCATTTAAGAATAACATGAAAAGCTTGCACCCAAAACAGGCTATATTTGGTTGCGTCATTCTTTTCATTTGTTTTAAGTATTGACCCATGATCTTGGAGGTGGCCGATGAAGGTAGTTAAACTTCTGGACTTACACAACTCTGAATAAAAGGAGCTACGATTAAAAGGGGTCTGATTATTATTTATTTATTTTTAATGAGAAATAATAATAAAATTTCTTGTTAACTTGTTTTTATTTATTTATTTTGTATAATAATTTAACTGTACACGTAAAATTTTATAAACTAAATATGATGTTATATAATTTTTTGAGTATAGATTTATATCACCTTTTTACATTATTTTTAAAATTAAATCGATCATTAAATTTGTATAAACACTAATTCAAAGTTCAATAATTCAATCGTAATTTTAATTAAAAAATTATGTAAATTAATTAGATTAATCTCTTAATACAACAAAATATGTTTTGTTAAATATTTTTATTTGATTTTATTATGTTAAATTTTGTTTATTATTTTTAAAAACAGCAAAAGGCCAAAAGTTAAAAAAAAAATTGACTTTAACATTATTTTCCTATTTATTTTTTCTATATAGATAATAAACTGACATCTTAATCATTAATTTTAATTTAAATCAGTTTTTTATATGGGATAGAATAAGTCTTAAGAAATTTTACAAGAATAATAAATAATACAGGGTTTTGAATTGTAATGTAATTTTACAAGAATTTTAAAAAAATATTTATTTACATATGATCATATATTATCATTTATGATAAAAAAACTATTTATTTTTATAATAATCACTTTAAAAAGCATATTTATTATTTAAAATAATTTTTAATTGACAGTATAAATTTCTCTACACTTACCATATATAAAATGTTAAGCTCTTTATATAAACTATCATATGTCTCCCATCTCCCTCCCAACTATCAAATTAAAAAATCTTACATGATTTTTAAATGCAATGCAATTTTATAAGACTTTAAACATCATACTTATTATTTAAAATAACTAAATAATTGGCATGCAAGAAAATGGCTAAGGTTAATCTTAAATATTCTTTATGTTTTTTTATCTATTTAATTGGTATAAGTTATGTTAATTAATTCTAGTAACTTGTGTAAATTATGTTATTTAATTGTGAAATTATGGTACTTTCACAATCATGAATGTAATTATTAATTAATTAATAATTATTTTATGCTAGTTAATTTTTTATCTTTAATTTGATAGAAAATGTGGTTATCTTAATTTTGATTAAAAATATTGACTTTTTTTAACATTAATGTTAGTTAAATATTATTTGTATTTTGAAATAAGCTTATCTTAATTTAAAAACTTTTTTACAAAAGAATTAAAATTTGGAAATTAGATCATAGACTAATTAGTACATGAAGTAAGTTAGTTTATATAATCATGGACTAGTCCTAGTAGCTTTGTGAACTTTTTTTGTAAGTTATTTTGGTGTCCTGTGAACTTTTTTTGACCCTGGCCCATGTGCGCTAAAGCTTTGGAGGATGAACTAAACCTATTTGACAGGTCTAATTCTAAGCATGACATTCCATGATTGCAACTTTTTTTGTTTTTGTTTTTAGTAAACAGTTAAGAAAATAGAAATCAAACACAGCCACAAGTTGTTGCATGAGGAGAGTCTTAATGTTTCCCTTAATTTTTTGCAGGCACACCATCTCTTTAACTAGTATAGTTTTCTTGAACAAGAGGTTTCTAATTATCTCAAAGCAAGAAAATAAATTCTACTGTTTTTCGGGCCGAGTATGTGACCCAAATCAATTCCAATCGAGACAGGTCGGACCAAAAAATTATCGGCCCAACTATTTCGATGTAATTTTGCGAATTAGTTACACTAGTTATTGTCACTAATTTGCAATGGCCTCCTTAGGACCTTATCCCGATGGATAGACGTAAGAGACAGTGGAAAAACTTATTTAAAATACTTACGAGAGAAAAAAAACTAAGAAACTTTTGAAATTGTTAAAAGAAAAAAAATCTATAGAGATTATGTAAGTTCATTTTAGGTTATACGAAAAACAAATGATTTGTTCATGTATTCATTTATTTAGGAAACCATGGAATTCGAACAAAACATTGACTAACTTCCATTAAAGACTGAGCGCACACACAGTGAATGCTCTATTATCTCTCTTATAAATATTTAGGAAAATGTTTATTAAACAAGACCTTAAGAAAATGTTTAGGGTCCCAAGAACCACATTACATTCATCTCCTTGTTATCACTTCATCCTTAAAATAGACTCTTCGGGTGAAAAGGAATTCTACCTCATGATTATGGTGTTGGGAAATCAAACCCTTCGATGACAAGTAAAAACACCGATAAACTACAAGCCAAACATGAACATATATTGCACATATAAGATGCTTTTACGAGTGACCATTTCATGCAGTTTCAAACTACATTAATACACAGCATTTCCTCAACAGAAGAATATAAAAATGCAACTGCATGCGCGAAATACTAAGTTTGCACCATTTTGATCGAAATATCATTAGGAGATTGAGACATACCAGAAAGAAGATCCACAAAAAATTAGCATATTAAAATCGGAGTTTACAAGGTCGGAAACATAGTCAAAACCCGAAGCTCCAAGTTTTAACCAAATGTTGTGTATCGCATGCAATCATTAACATCTTTGATTGGATGCTATCCAACCGATATGACAGTTTACACCATTAAATGTATTCTTTGGCCATAAGAAATATGGGAGCACTAGCAGCTATTGTGTTTTATTATTTTGTTTAAAACACTGCTCAATGCAAATTGTAAAACTGGTCACTCACCAAAAGACTTAAGTCAAGGCAGGCCAATAACGAACAACAAAAACACCAGAAGACAAGTCAAACAGCTTCATCTTCTACGTAGTTTACAGCTTGGTCCCAATAATGAGGTACACCAGCATCCACAAAAACTTTTCGGGCGGCTGCTTCAGTGATGCAATCATGAACACTGAACCTATTGAAGCTGGGTTTGGCAACACTTCCTTGCCACACTAGAACACACTTATTGGCAGGCTTATCATCATCTGAATCTTCATTTTCTTCTTTCTCTTTTGAAACATCACTCCAATTAATACGTCTAAGCATAAGTTTCCCGTACCTCTTAATTGACTTGCTTCCACCTTCAACCACAACAATACTTATACCATCGCAAATCACAGCACATCCAGTCAAACGGTTCTCTTGAGCATTAACATCGACCCTAAAGCGGGCCTTTGGATGTGAGAGATCATTTATCCTGTAAAGAGAGACAATTGCCTCTAGTGTATTTGGGTCATCAAACAGCTTCCTTTCCTTCTTCTCCCGCAGCTCAGCCGGAGTAAGCTTGCGTGCAATATTCCTATCAATGTGAGCCTGCTCACGCTCAGCCGCTGCAGTACGTATTTCCTTTTCAAGCCGAGTAGGATCTTGAGTTGCTTCAGATCCAAGTACTTTCATTAAATTGCTAATCTTGACCTTTGGTTTTGGCGGTTCTATGACACCCTGTCTTATCATCTCCTGTCGGTCTTTCTCCTTGGCTATACGTCTTTGTGTCCGGAGTTTCTTCTGCTCTTGCTTAGTTAGTTTGAGTGGTTGAGGTGGTGGAGGAGCAGGCTCAGCAGGTGGTTCAATTGGACGAGGATGCTCCACATAAAAAGTGATTTTTTCCATTTTCAGTTTATCTTCACCTATGGTTCCATTATCAATGTCACCATAATTTCCAGAATGCAGAAGAGGCACGTCCCTGATAAATTAAATTCAAATGGTTAACTGGATAAATATGTTTACAAACGAACCAGGTGTGAAAAACAATTATTTTGATCATATTTACTGCTTCAGCTTTTGCAAAGAACAAAACAAAAGCTCTCCAAAGACAGGCAATACAAGATTTACAAAAATAGACATTCATGTCAAATTGTTCATTGTTACATACAATTTACCAACTATCGATGGTTTTCACACATTCTATTCAACTAGTAGTAGTACTCTAGCAGTCTTCCTTTAAAACAGCCAGGCAGGGTATATTCTAGTTAGTCACTTTGATCTTTTTCTAACGTTATTGTAACTATTGTTATAAACAACAGAAACAGAAGAACATAAGGACAAAACTACAGAAACAGGCACGTATAGTACACTTGTTAAATTTGAATTGAAAATTTTGTGACATTTGAATAGCACCCTTAAAACAATTCATACACTCTTACAAACATAACTTATATAGAAAGTAGTAGTCCCGGTGAGCATAAACTTACCACCACTCAATGTCTGGAATTTGGTCCTTCGGTTTTTCTTTAATTACAAATCTCTCTGTTATTTCTATCAAGTTAGGATTTATATCGGGAGCAGCCTTTGCCTTTGCCAATTGTGCTTGTTTGGCCTTGTGCTCTTTTGCTTGAGCTTCTCCAAATTTACTCTGCATGAGTTAAATAATAATAACAAAGCACATACAAAGGCAATTGAAAAGAATTAAGTAAAAAGGAAAGTCACTAGAAAGTGGGAGAAAGACATGGACAGATAAAAATACCTTCAATTTTATTGTTTCAGCATCTCTTGACCATTTTCCTTCTTCCACAAATTGGAAATTCATCCTCTTGGGCCGCAGGAGCTTTGTTTTGTTGATACCCATCCTTTCATCAAAATGCGGATTAGATTCAGGATCGACATCCAATACAGGTTGTAGTATTTCAAATGCTTCTTTCTTTTGTTTGTTAATGTTGACCTGGAATGTTCAGACACAGCTTCTTGCCTTAAGACAGGAATCCCAAACAGGAAATAAAAAACTAATAAACAGAGACAAATAGGAAAACAGCACACCTTTAATGTGCTAAGGTTGGTGGGCTTAGTCACATTAATAACATTTCCATGTTCATCTATTTCTCGTCCCTGAGCATCAAGACGGAGAACAGGAGCCTTTGTGGGTTTCTGCAGGATAGCAACATCTGTTACCATCTGACCAGGAAACATATTTATCAGAGGAGCAAATTGGGGATCTTGGCGAAATCCCATCCTGGCAGCAAGCTCCTGAGCACGCCTGACAGCTTCCAAGTTGGGTAGAGTTGCATTTGCAATACCAGCAGCACTAGTGCCACTTGCTGGAAGATTAGCAGAAGCAGTTGAGGGGAAAATCGACATATTTGCAACATGGCCCAGAGATGCTGAGGTGGAAGTTTTTGATGCCACTCCAGCGCCGGAAGAGAGTACTGCAGATTCACTTTTTGAACTCAAGTTTGAGCCTCCTTGTAAATTTTGGGTAGAACTCTTATTCAACTGCACAACCAAAAAACACAGCAGTTAATGCATTCAGAGGAACATGTACAGTTACAATAAAATAAATAAGTATCATCAGGTGGTTATTAAAGAGAAATATCTGGCTGACAATAGGTACTGATTAATAGAAACAGTGCTAACTTACCTGAGGAATTTTCTTCAGCTTTTCTGACAACTCTTTCTGCATTTGTAAAGCTTTCTTAGCCTTAGCTAGGGCATCAATAGAGAGGCTTCCAGGTTTCCCAGCAGTTGTAGATGACCCATCTGTACTAGATTTTCCAGTAACCTCATGAGACCTGGTAATACTAACGCCCTTATTTTCATTTGTGGTAGAATTCGAAGATACCTTGATAGGAAAGGAAGGAGGAGGAGCCAAAGATGTCTCAGGCACACTCATGGGCGCCACAGCAGGTGATCCCAAGGCAGTGCCCTGAAAGAGCAAGGATAAAACGCCAGTGAATGTGTGACCCTCTTTAAGTATTCCAAGAGGAATAACAGAAGAAAATTGAACATGTAATAAAGCTGAACAGAAACAAAAATCACAATGATGGATGCATAAGATAACAAACCATCTCTTCTACAAACTGATCTATCAATAAGGTTAAGAGAGTCCATCAAATTACTTAATTATATATCATTAGATGGACTATAAGGATTATCACATAGTTTCTCACATAAATTAGCAATCTCATTCTAGTTCAGTAAGCAGTAACTGAAAGTAAACACCCCTACAGTTTGACATGATATTCTAAACCAGCACTCATGTATTAGGAACACTATGAAAGCAAACATATTACTATTCAACTATAACCAAGAAAAGTATAAACAAATGTTGAGCATCATCAAACTGTTAAAACAGAATACTAAAGAAAGAAACTCACATTTTGGACAAACACGGTGTCTTTGGATGAAGCTGAGCCATGGGCACCATCAGTGACTTCCTCCTTGACTTTGGCCTCATGAATGCCTTTAAATTTATCATCACCATCTTCGTCTTCCTCCTTCTTGAATTTATCCCCAAACTTCCTCCGTTCCCTCCTCCCTTCCTTCCTCTCCTCGGAAACCCTAATTTTCTTATCCTCATAGTCCCTTTCCTCGCTGTGCTCCCTCTCTTTCCGCTTATGAGAATGTGAGGTGTGTTGCAGCTCCACCAAATCTTCCCTCCCCTCATCACGCTTCACCTTTGACCTATCTTTGCTGCCCTCAGTTTCGTAAGCCCTATGCTTATCCTTGCCTCCTTCTCTGTCATTAGCCCTGTCCCTATCCTTACTTCCTTCTCTGTCATAAGCCCTGTCCCTATCCTTGCTTCCTTCTCTGTCATAAGCCCTGTCCCTATCCTTGCTTCCTTCTCTGTCATAAGCCCTATCCCTATCTTTGCTTCCTTCTCTGTCATAAGTTCTATCCCTATCCCTGTCCCTGGATTTGTGGTCACGCTTGTGATTCCTATCCGATCGATGATGGCGGTGATCATCAGAATCATGATGGTATTTGTCGTCATGTTCCAAGTATCGATCTCTGCTTCTCTTTTCAGATTTAACTCTGTCATCCATTTGAAGGTTTGGGAGATGTTTCCTCTCTTCTGTTCTATTGTACTTCGGGAATCACTTCACCTTAGCTCTTATCTTTGAAAATTACTATGAATTAAATACCATAAGCATCAGATGATTTTAACAGCTCAACATTCCTCTTCAAAACTAAATCAAGTTATTTTAAAATTAAAATTAAATCAAATTATAACAATTATGAAGCAAATAACCAGTATTCTCCTAGATATAACATATTTTAATCATATATTCATTTGATTATTTTCGGTGAACTCTTGTCCATACTTTGATGAAACTCCTAATCAGATTTTATTCTGCTCACCTAACCACGTGAGTTAACCAAAGAAGCAACATTAATCACTCTTATGTACATGTGAATATTTGTGTTCATATTCATAGTACATAACGTTACCGGTACATATCCCTACCCTATGTGACATTGTCCTATATACTACGATTATGTATATCAATGCACGCTCCTCAGATTTTTACCACGAAATGTAACTAGGTTCAGAAATGCAACTAAATACAAGCTCATATGTCAAGGAGAGGCCATGCATGATGCCACTGTGACTAAGATAGTCTCAAAACAGAATATAACAAATACACTGAGGTGTATGGTACCTGAATTAGACTATAAAACAATTTGAATAAAAACAAATTAGCCTCGTCAAGATCAAATTGAAAATCACAAACAAATAAAACACAGAAAGTTGAGAGAAAGTGATTACAGATTCGTGCGCAGATTGGAGAGTCTGAGAAGCAAATATGCCACTCTTAACCTAAGAGCATCAATTTGGCGGTCTATGCTCTTTCCCGCTTCGTCGCTCTTCTTTCTCTTCTTCCCTTTACTACAACTTCTCTACCCCGCAAAAGCAAAAGCAAGGAACATCAACAGATCTAGGGTTTTACTTCAAAGTTCTTGAATTTTATCTATTTTGCTAAAAAGGGTCCGTTTTCGGCTATTTACTAAGAAGGGCCTATTTAATTTTAAGCTTAACTACGTCTTTAGAGTAAATTTATTTTTTCCTCAACTTTTTTTAATCTTATAAATAATTAGTCAAATAACAAATTTAGTTGTTTGTGAGGATTAATTGATATTAATTTTACTAAAAAATTATTAGGTAATCATATCTCAATAGAAAAATTTTATTTAGTAGATTCATTTATAATATTTGAATAAAGATATTTAAATAATTTTTTAAAATTACATAGCATTACCCAAAATAAATTTACATAGAATAAAAAATAATTTTAAATTTAATAGGATAAAAATAAATTTTTCTCTGATTATAAATTTAAATAAATAAAAAATGTATTTAATCTTTAGTTTTATTTAATTTCATACTTTATTATTAAAAGTTTAACTTATTTTTAAAAAAATTTATTTTTTATTTTTTATTTATTGTACTTGTGTATCTTTATTAAAAGTAAATAATAATATTATATTATTTCTAAAATTAAATGACTAAAATAATTTTTTAATAATAAAAACATCAAATTGAACTAATTAAATAAGAATGTAAAAGAGTAATTTATTCATTTTATTTTGTGATAATTTTAAAATAAAAAAAAAATATTGTGTGGTAGGACATAATATTATATGAATACATAGGAAGTAAGAGGCATTGGTGTTAATTGGGGAGTTGCATCAGCTGTTTACAGTCCTTGAATGGCTTGAGACCATACAGTAAGGTTTGCTTGGTGTCTCCATCTCCACCACCAGTCAAATATTATCCATATTTTGAAAATTAAAAAACGAAACAAAAAAGCATTTCTCTGAACACCATGAAAAAATAAAAAGAAAAGGAGAAACTTTTTGCTCTATTCATTTTTATTATTCTGAGGAACGTGTGTTTGTTTGGTGGTGAATTCCTATCCACACGTCTCACCGGAGACATGTCTGCTGTGGTTGCCGGTTCCTCCTCTTCACTCTCTGCCACCTTCACCACCAGGAGGAGCAGCCCCTCCTTAAAAAACACTCACCTCACACATTCCAAGACACTCACTCTTCCTCAATGCCAGGTACTATACTACTTACTATTCTTTATTTGATGCAAGAAATTATTACATAATTCAGAACCACCGTGATCACCACTAACTTTCACATGACAGATAATTGAGTGAGTCATTAAGTGTTATTAATTTTTACTTTTAAATTAAAAATCTTGAATGTATGTTGTGAGAAGATTGATCAGGATAATGAACCTGTGATGGTTAACACTTAGCAATATGTTATGATTTCTTGCATGTTTCAAATTAACTAATAGAATTCATTTTGCTATTGTATCTAAAGAAAACATCTTTGCAAGGCCTCTCACTTCATGAAGCCAAAAGGGGTGTTTCAGAATCCTTCCTAGGTGAGAACAGGAACGGTTCCTCCATTGCTGGAAGGAGACTTGAGATCACAGCAAGAACTGCTGGGGCTTCAAAGACAATTGAGGCGGAGGTTGACAAGCCACTTGGCCTCACCTTAGGTCAAAAATCCGGTGGTGGTGTTGTCATCACTGTCAGTATCTGGCTCCCTTTCAAGTACTCTATTGAATGGAATAATTACAATTTACAAATTCAGTCATTTTGGATAAATTTCTTCATAAACACTTATATAGCAGAAAAAAAAAAAATAAGAAGAAAAAGATAAATAAGTTTCTCTATAAACTAAAATTAGCTTATCATAAGCTAATTTATAGAAATTCTCTCATGTTAGTTTGTGAACGAGGATTGTTGATGGACGCTTGTTTGTGTACTTTAGGCTGTTGATGGTGGTGGAAATGCAGCGAGAGCAGGGTTAAAGGCAGGGGACCAAGTCCTTTATACTAGCAGTTTCTTTGGGGATGAATTGTGGCCTGCTGATAAGCTTGGATTTACTAAAACCGCAATTCAAGCAAAGCCTGATTCTGTCTACTTTGTTGTGAGCAGGTTCCCTTATCCACCTTTGTTCCATTCTATCTTCTTAATTGCACCAATTCTCTAGTAAATTTGTTGCTCACATAGGTTATTCTTATTCTTATTATTTGGGTATAGTTTGAGCAGCCAACACCCCATTCGTGCAACTTTTTCTTTTAGCTAAGATAAAAACTGAAGAAAGAAATGCTATATTAGTTCAGTATGCAGCTGCAGCTCCATGAAAATTATTGGTTGACTTAATATGTTCATCGGTTTGTTTCAATACTATAAAACGCATAGGGTAAAGTCTCTCTAATGTTCATGTGATCATGTCATTTATTCTATTATTTACCTAACAGCTGCAATGACTTCACACCTAAAATACCTTCATCTTTTGTTATTAAGAGGTGCTGATGTAGACGTTAAAAGGCTTCCAAAGCGTCCTGCTCCTCCTCGATTTGGAAGAAAACTAACTGAGGCCCAAAAGGCAAGAATCATTTTGGAGTGACATGCTTGTTCTTCTTCCTAGTTATTTGCTTGTATAGGCTAAACATGATATCAGTATGTTTATTTTATTTTTTTACATTAAATTGTTGATTAAATGCACTGCAATGCAGGCTAGAGCTACTCACATTTGCCTTGATTGTGGATACGTATACACCTTACAGAAACCTTTTGATGAGCAGGTAGGGCTAGCATATATAAGTTCTCTTCTAAGCTCTTCCTCCCTCATTCTTTCCTCCAGCTGTTTGTGCCAGCAATTTTTCATTGTGCTGTTAAAAAGGATTTCATAGTGTAATATCTGTGGGAATTTGGTTTTTAACTAAAGGTGTCATGTGACCTATGTAGCTGATAGTGAAATAAGACTTTTGTTGTTGTTGTATTAATATTAATGTTTGTCGTATTAAAATAATGTTTGATCAACAAAAATCACATTTTACAAATATAAATTAATCGAGTTGTTAACTTTAAAATACTGTATAAATCATGTTTACAAACTAATTTTTTCAAAAGCTTTTCTTTAACTCATGAATTTGCTGACTGATTTTGTCATTGCTTTTGCAGCCGGACACATATGGGTGTCCTCAATGTCAAGCACCTAAGAAGAGGTTTGCTCGGTATGATGTTAACACTGGAAAAGCTATTGGTGGGGGCTTGCCTCCTATTGGAGTTATTGTTGGACTCGTGGCTGGTCTAGGTGCAGTTGGAGCTTTGCTTCTTTATGGTCTTCAGTAACATTTTATTCCATCACATCTCATTTTCAGTCCTCCAATATTGGACCTTGTATCTCATAAACTCCTCGGATATTCATGTGAAAGTTAAATGAAGCTTTCTTTATGAGATTCAAAGTGAATTTCTAACTACTTTTGTTGTACTTGTATTTGTTGTACACCGGGAGGTTTTCACACATATCCACATGTCTCCACATTTGTGAGATATTGTTCGCTTTGAGCCCAAAATTTCACGGATTTGTTTTTGGACATCATTCAAAAAGTCTCTCAACCAATGGAGACAATTGTGTATATATAAACACATGTTCATCCTCTTGTTTGAATGATGTGAAACTTTGCTTGCATCTTAACAGTTTATTTTTTTGTAGGAGCTTCATTAAGGATTTGCAGAGCTACATGTTAATTAAGAATATTTTGACAAAAATAAAATAATTTAAGAGATAGCTTGGAGAGATATATGATGGATGTTTACTATGGTCTTTTTTTCATACAATGGTTTACTGAGTTATCTACCGTAATATTACTCGATTTCTGGATCAAAAGTGAAGGTTTGGATTACGTGGTTGAAACACAATAGTATATTACGTGGTCGAAACAGTTATTTAAGAGTAGTTTGGATATTTTAAAAAAAAAAATGATAAGTTTATGGGGCAAATTGTTAGGACTTAGGAGTAGAAGCAAGTGTCGATATACAATTATTTTGAACCAATACCTCAGCCCAAATGCCCAATAGAGATAGAGCCCAACTAGCTTGGAAACTTTGGCTCAAGTCAGATCAACAAATAATCACCAAGCCAGTGCTCATAATGTCATATACACATAGCATATATAAGGTGACTAAATCAATAAAATTGATTAATTTAAATTTTAACTTTAATTTATTTTAAATCTCAACTATAGCGGTGTATGAATACCCTTCCTTTCAAACACATGCTAAGTTGGGCGTACTCCCATCAGATCGCATCATCCGTTGCAAACTTTTGCCTTCCACGGACCTCGGAAGAATTACAACAAACCAACACTGATTTTTCTGGAGACACTCTTAACTACGTGGTGTTATCAGTGGGGATTTTTTTAAACCAATGAGACCTATCTAGAAATAAAAGCAAAAGTGTATTTTAATTTTACTTTTTTATAAAATAATGAAATTTAATTTATTTGAAATATTAAATATTAGGTTAAACATGTTTTTGTCCTAAAAAAAATTGACTATTTAATTTTAGTCATTTAAAAAATTGATTTTACTCCTCCAAAACTATACAATATCCGTTTTTAATCCTTTTTTAAACAAAGTTAACTTTTGTCATTGTTCTATTTTGAGCAGTATATGATATTCGATTTAGTATTGGTTGGACTTCTTTTCATGTATGTCAAAGTGTTTAGAGGATCTCTTATTGGATATGTGTGATTTTGTGGGTGGGAAAAAGAAGTGGAGGTATGTAGTAACTATTTGGGTAGCTGCGGTACGGAGTATTTGGTTACATAGAAATAACATTGTCTTTAACAATAGTTTAGTAAATGTTGGGGAGATTATAGATGCTATCAAATATAGATCATGGAAATGGTTGAAAGCGGGTTTAAATGAGGGACAACTAGTATACATAAATTGGTTAAATGAGTCATTGATATGTATTTAGCAGTTGGCTTAACTTTATATATAGGTTAGAGTACCCTTTGTACTCCCTTTTTTTAATATTATATTTTTTGTTTATCAAAAAAAAAATTGTCATTAAAATAGGTAATCTTAACAACTAAATCACCATTAGTTTTACATAAAACTTTTTAAATTTAAAATATCAAGTATTTTAGGATTAAGTTAAGTTTTAGGTTAAAAACTTTTACACTTAAAACTTTTATTATTCATTATCACTTATGAATGTTTCAAAATGCTCTATTTTACTTTTTGTCTCTCTATTTTGTTTTCACCCTCAGTGAAGCAAGTCAAAGCCTCCTATTTTTTAAAGAAAACACCTTAAAACTCAAGAAGGAAGAAAAATGAGCATTTTTAAAAGTAATTTGCATGAAGATTTTAAGAGTCACTAAGGGTGAAAGGGTGTAGTATGAAATTAGAAATTTAGAGCTTAGAGGGTTATCCACTAAAACATGAAACTGAATATTTATAATACATGATGATGGAGGTAGAGAATATTTTTTTTTTTAGTTTGTGAGAAAATTTTATTAGAATTTAGTGGAAGACTCTTTGTTCAAGTAAAAAAGGAATTAGTAGAATCTACGTAGCTGCGTCCAAGAGTGAGTAGTAAAAACTTTTAAGTGTAAAAATTTAACAAAATTCTTATAGTGATTTAAATGTTGAGTGACTTATTTTGGCAAAAAAAAATTAACGATGTTTAAAAATAGATTAAAAATAGGGACTAAAATCAAAAAATAAATTTAAAGGAACTAAAATCAAATAGAATCAATTTTTAACGGACCAAATATATATATATATTATATATATATATATTAGTTTAGTTACTTTAAAATATGGGTTTCCAAAAATAAATTAAAAGCTGAAAAATAATTATTATTATATATATTTATCCATTTGCATATATTATACTATTGCATTAATATATGTTAAAATTTTTCTTTTTTAAGATGTTATAAAAACTAACAAAATTGTGTCATGCTTATATAAGAAATTTTCTTTATTCATTTATATATTAGTATAATTATTATATTAACTAATAAGAAAAAAGGCAGTTGAAATCTCTACTTAAAAATAAAATAAAAAAGTATAAATGAATGCTTATTATTATATTTTCTTTTTTTTTCATTAAGAAATATTTATTATTTTATGAGAAGTTACGTTTCATTTTTTAAAGTATAATATAAAAATCTATTTATTTATATATTTTTATAAATATTACAAATGGTCCATTTTTCTATCAATATTACATCAATAATATTAAATGTCATTAATGTGTCTAATATATAGATTATTATTATTGTTGGGCCCACTTACTTGTATAACTATATCGAGTATTAGTTGGGTGACTTGGGTCGAAGTAAGAATATGTGTCGTTCTACGTTGCCCTCTTAAAATTTGCCACATTCAATTTTTTTTGTGAGTGCATCTTTCTCGTACTAAGAATTTGTGTATCCACACTAAAATTCCTATCCCATAGAAGCCTCCTTCGTTCTTCATTGTTCAGCATTGCATTTTCACCACCACGAGGTATTGACATATATCATAACTTTAGGTATGTTTATTATATATAATATAAATAATTTTATAATAAATTATATTTTAAAAATACTATATTTAAATATATAAATTATATTTAAACATATAGATTATATTTTAGATTTATGATAAATAATTTGTATTGTAAATAAATTATTTTTTATTTATTAATAATTTATTTTAAAATATTAATTTTTTATAGGTAAAAAAATTAATTAAAGAGAGTACAACGAGTATTCAAACTCATTAAAAGGAAATACAACAATCAAAAATCTACAAAAGTCAACCTAACAAAAACAACCTCACCAATCCAAAATAACAAGAGCCAAACACAACCAGTATACTCCTACTACATTATAAAGAGTCAATTAAATTTCAAAAGCATGCATAATAGCACCATGTGACACCAAAATAAACCACTTCAAAAAAGAAAACACCTTCCACTGTAAGAAATAAAACCGTCACCCTACAAACCTTATCAAGAGACAGAGTCCATCAATCAAAAAAGAAACCTCCTAACCAAGAGCGAAGAACACCAAGAACTAATAACACCAACAAATATTAGATTACAATAAATTTAAATAGATAAAAGATTGTTTAGTCCAAGTGTAGAAATGACAAGAAAACTTATGATCGTGTACTTTTAACCATTTTCAAGAGCGAAGTTTAATATATAGAAATTAATAATATTTTTTTTATTTATTCAAGCTTTTTTTTCTAATTAATTTATTTTAAATTTTTAAATTTTTAATTGAAAATAACTATTTACTTTTAACAAACATATTATAAAATGTCAAACTTAAATAAACATGTGAAAAATATTAGAAGTGTTAATGGATCAATTCAATTCAAAATATTGATAAAATAAAATCAAAATCAATTAATTTTAATTGGTTTAATTCATATTAAATTTACATTAAAAAAATTATAATCCAAACAAATTTCATTAGTTTAGCTTAAATCTTAAACTTCATTGAGTTATTCAAACAAATGAGCACTCTATTAAAAAATATAACACAATAATAAATAGTATATTTTTTTACTCAATAAAAATATAAGAGTTAAAAATTATAAATAAATTATAAATTTAGTTACACCTTTTCATAATTTTGTAAATATTATTACCTATTTTTTAAAATTATACATTTTGGTACTAAATTTTCAAAATTTAACTTTTTTATTATTTATTAATTGATTGTTTAATATTGTTAATTACTCACTAATATGATATAACATTTCATATGAATGTCATCGTGTTGTGTTATGTCAAAGATCATTATGTCGTGAGTCTTCAATTAATAAAATAATAAAATGTATGCAATTTTGAAAATTTAATGAAAAGTGTGCAATCGAAAATTAAGAGATAAAATTGGTCAACTGAAATCACATGTAAAAGTGCAATAAATTCTATATTATAAGAAGAAAAAAAAACTGGCAATTTGAAATATATCGTGAATCATATTTTTAATGAATAACACGAATGGCGTGGAGGGATTATCAACCAATTAATGCACATGAATAAAAAAGTAGACAAGTTAAATAATAAAGCAAGGTATTAGAGAAAATTTTCAAATTAAAGTGAATGAATAGTAAGTATTTGTGATTATTACGCCTGACATTTCATTAAAATTCAAAAACTTGCGAGCGGTAGAGTGTAATTATTGATTTTGGCATGATTTGGTGGTTGCATCTGATCTCTGCGTTCCAAAACAATAAGATGATGACGATGAGATGAAGCATGCGAATGTAACAAACCAAATGGTTACTTAACTGATTCAAAGTACCCAAAACCAACACTGCACTTTCACCATTTTAGAAACGTACCAGGAACAGGAACCCCCACACTGCACAGTTTCTCAATCAGGTAATGGTTTGCTTTAGCAATTTCTTGAAATGAGTTTTGCTGAGTTACACACTATTTGGCTGTTTTTCACCACCCCTTTTCTGTGTGCCTCTGCTTTGCTGCTCCTTGCCTGTTCGAAGAAATGCCCCAATGTAAAAAAACCCATCTTGCCTTGAGGTTTGTGATGTGATCCTTGGGGTTTTGGTTATGGAATTCACTGATGCAACTCCATACTCCTTTAAATATGATTTCTTGCTGCACCTTCATTATGTGGCTTTATCTTTCTGCTTAGGAAAAGATTGCTGGCATTTTATAGTCATTAAGGTAGAAAGTGTTTATGGATTAGTATAAAATAAACAGCTACGTTAATACCATAATCATGAAAACTAAATAGATTGTCTCCTTTCGCTCCTCAACCGTTTTCCTTCCCTTTTGATTGAGAAATGAGAAGCTATACTTAAAGTGGGTTAACTAGGTTGTATTGCTTCTGGATATTCAATTTCAAACTGAAGTTTTTCTGAATGTGGAAATTATTAGTGACTACATAATTAGGTGGTGATGTTATTATGTTCTTCTTTTGGATCTGCTTGCAAAAGCTGTTTTAAGACATGCTTTCCATATTTTTAGTTTGTTTTAAAGTAGAGTAATGTTCTGTAATAATTTTTCTTAATGGACATGCTTTATGACAATTGAACTTTATGCTTTATCTAATTCCATCTCAACACTTTCTTAATGGCCTAGAGTAGTTATTTGAGGGTTGCAGACTTGTTGCTTGACGTGGATGTGGATTATTGTGTAATCGGAAGCAAATTTGATTTATACATATTGTTAGTGTTTTTTTGGGGGGAAGGGAGGACTGTTTTGGTCATTAATTTGGATCTAATTTATGGCAAGGTCAACTTATAACTAAGTGCCTTATTTGGTTAACCTATCACATTAACTGTTTGATAACGGCCACATCCTTGGTCAAAGAAGCGACTTCCATTTCGTGATGCTTAACGACTTTTTCCATTTAACACTAAAGTGAATATAGTAGATATAGTTGCACACTGTATAATTGATAATTTTGTTACGGGAGTGGAAACAAACTACCATATCATATGCATCGAAGAGAGTGGATGACGACACAAAAAATTAGAAATGATAATGCTCTGTGATCCAAGTCTAATAGATGAAATGACTGCATCAAATGTTTGAAATTTGAATTTTTCTGGCAACAATTAAAAAATTATGTATTTGCAACATTCTCAATTTGATTAATGTATTTGCAACCAATGTCTTATTTTGAAATGAGCGTTCCCATTCAGTTGTCCCATTTTGTTTTCTGTTTTATTTTATAACAACGAAAGTACTTCTAACTTCTGAGGAAACAAGCAAAAAACACATATCTAATAGAACCTTTTATTTTATCTGTTTTAGGGTGGTGGGGGTATAATTTCTTTTTCTGGAAAAACTTCTAAAAAATTATCATTTTCTACCCAAACAAATCATCCTAAATAATGCACTTAATTGTAACATTTTTCTGTTTATTTTTTATTTTTGTAGGGTGTAACAAGTTTGGTTCAGGTGTGTGCTGTTGTTGCTGTTGAGCTGAAACTCCTCTGCATAGTTTTATGACTTTTATCCTTTGGCTCAGGGGCAGAGATGCACATTAGAATGATGGTGATGGTGACTCAAACATTGAAAACAATTGTGTCATCCTATCATGACTATGACAAGAATTCCCGTCTCTGTCCTTTGCCTACCGGTCCACCCAGAAGCCGTCAGAGGCACCAAAGCCGCATTAGAACCTTGGCCGTGGCCATAGCAGCACTTCTCATATCTACCACTGCTTGGCTTTCCCTTGTCTTCTCTGATGCAACTACCTGTTGCTTTCACCGCTTAAAAGATTGGGAAAGTAGCCCCGAATTTTTTACTTGGAAGAAGTGCATTTCTCATCGCTGTGCGGAAGTAACACCCCTGCCAGTTCTCCAGCTTGGGACCATGAAAGATCATCTTCAAAATGGTAGCAGTATTGTTCAACAGGGAGGCTTGACACTTAAACATATTGTTTTTGGCATAGCAGGATCATCTCAGCTTTGGAAACAGAGGAAGGAGTATGTCAGATTGTGGTGGCGTCCCAATGACATGCGTGGTCATGTGTGGTTAGACGAACAAGTGCTTGAAGGAGATAGAGATGATTTATTGCCCCCTATCATGATTTCTGAAGACATCTCATATTTCCGCTACACTAATCCCATTGGTCACCCTTCTGGCCTCCGGATTTCTCGCATTGTCAGAGAGAGCTTTCGCCTTGGCCTCTCTGATGTGCGCTGGTTTGTCCTCTGTGATGATGATACCATCTTCAATGTGAATAACCTAGTTGATGTTCTCAGCAAGTATAATTCTTCTGAAATGATATACATTGGTAGCCCCTCGGAGAGCCATTCGGCAAATACTTATTTTAGTCACTCAATGGCCTTTGGTGGTGGTGGTATTGCAGTAAGTTATCCACTTGCAAAGGCTCTCTCTGAGATTCTTGATGAATGCATTGAGAGGTATCCCAAGCTTTATGGTAGTGATGATCGACTGCATGCCTGCATTACTGAACTTGGCATTCCACTGACATGGGAGCATGGTTTTCACCAGGTACTTTTTTTGATCCATTTTACTCATTTTTGTTTTGATGACATCTTTTATTCTTTCCATTTTTTTTCTTTCCATCTAAGAGAAAGGAAAACTTTGTCACATGCATAATATGATTATCATCAAGCCATTTTATCATTCAGAATTTGTAAATGATCAAGATTAATTTTTCGTTTATTTTTCAGTGGGATATAAGAGGTGACGCCCATGGCCTTCTATCCTCTCACCCAATAGCACCATTTGTGTCGATTCATCATGTTGAAGCAGTAAATCCCTTTTATCCTGGCCTGAGCTCTTTGGACAGCCTTAAACTTTTTACAAAGGCCATGAAAGCAGATCCCAAAAGCTTTTTGCAGCGTTCAATATGTTACGACAATGCTCAGCATCTAACATTTTCAGTGTCGCTTGGTTATGTTGTTCAAGTCCTGCCTAACATTGTTTTTCCCCGTGAATTGGAGCGCTCTGAAAGAACCTACTCTGCTTGGAATGGTATTAATCAAAGGAATGAATTTGATTTTGATGCTAGGGAACCATACAATTCTGTTTGTAAAGGGCCCACTCTATTCTTCTTGAACGATACTAGAAGAGAGGGTAATGCTTCTTGGGGTTCATATGTTCGGGGTAGAGATAAAAGTGATTTCAAAAAGAGAATTTTATGCTTTCCTCACTTTCCCCCTCTGCGCAATGTGGAAGAGATTCAGGTAGCAGTGCAACCTTTGAGCAAGAATTGGCATCTGGTATGTTTTATAGCACTTGAGCATTTTATATGATGATATTACCACTTTTCAATATTAATGACATTACTTGATTCCACTGTTTGGTTGTCCTAGGTTCCCCGTCGTCTCTGTTGCAGGCAATGTCAAGCTGACAAAGAAGTCCTCCATATCTCAGTTGGAGAGTGTGGGAAGTGAGCTTTTAGCTCTGTCTACTGATTATTATGTTGGTTGATTAGTGAGCTGGCACATTAGGATTGCCCTCTTATGGTTTGTACATGATTTGACCTTTGAGTGAAGAGCTAATTCCATGCGGCATTTTTTACCATGAATTGAGCTTTTCTTGAGCACCATTTTCTATGTGTTATACTCAGAAGACACTTGAACTTGCAGATGGTAGCAAAAAGGTTCCCTACGCCAAAAGCTATAGCATGCAGTTTTTTCCCTAAAATATAGGAGGGTATACGTTCGCAAATCCATATATATGTAGAAAGAGAACATATAAAATGAGAACTTTTATCGTAAGAAACGAGAGTTATGAATATTGATGTTAGATCATATTTAAATAGATAAGGTTAAAAGTAAAATATTAACGACTTTTTTAGATGATCATGATTATTAACTAATTTTTAATCTTAAGCATCTCATATTTATCTAAATAGTTTACAAACATTCTGTACTCAACACATTCATTTATTAGTTGAAATTTGTTGGAAATCACAAAACCATGTATGAAATTCATTAAATAAGAAGTGAGATTCGTACAATTTTGTGATTTTTAATAAATTTTAACTAATAATAAAAAGGGTATGTTAAAAAAATATGCTATTAGCAATTCTCATGTATTATTTGGCAATTTTTCAGGAGACCATCCCAAAAAAAATGAACAAATAAAAAGATTCTCTTAGAGAGACAGAAAAATTTACTGAATGTTTTTAAATTTACCAGGGAAAAAAGATCAGAATCTTAAAATTAAGACTAACTCATTTATAAATTATAACACAACATTGCATAGTACATCTTATTTTGTTTTTGTAAACCATATTTCATTTTGAATGTAGTAAGTATAAAGATGTTATATCCCTAGTCTTTCTCTTGACCTCAACTTCTTATTATACATGTCACCATTACTTACTCTAAAATTACATTAAAATAATCTCTACTGATTAGTGCAATCAGTTGGCTTAAAAGAAACTGTCCTTCTATCTAAATCAAACCCAATCAAAACATTTGATTGAGCAAAATTGCCAAATATATAGTCTCCATCAGTGGTGCCAGCCATTGCAAAGCAAAATACCCCATCTTTTGGTGGTATAAAGGTTTGTATTGGCATCAACTGCACATCTGCCCCCTCAAAATGAGCAGTCAGAATTGGCCCTTCCAAATTTGTCTCGCTTCTGTAACAAAGTTGTGTGCCCAAGTCTGGGTCATCATCAATGGGTAAGAGACTACTCTGCACCTTCAATTCCTCTACCAGACGGTCATAAAATTCTTGTGGTAAATATGTTGCTGGTGTACCTGAATCAATCATTATATTCCCCTTGGAAAGCATTTCTGAAGAATTAAAAGGCACAAATGTGTCTCCAACACTTATGCCTTCCAGGGTGACCAAATAAGGTGTCTGACCCTCCTCAGAGACCAAAGGAGTTGTGGCTACTCCTTCACCTGAAACATCACTGTCATCACCAAAACTAATGGTACCTGAAGTATGAGGGTCTGCATGAAAAGGAATCAGACACTGAGAGAACCTTTTACTCCCATAAAGATCACCAATTTGTGAAACAAGCGAGAGAGGTCCTCCACCCAATCCAATGATTCCCATATCATTTTCATTGAAATTTCCTGAGTTGCTGTGTCCACATCCAAATAAGATGTCTCCAACAACAACAGGTTCACCACTGGTGGAACTAAATGTGACTGCTTCCCTTGCAAGCACCCCATTTGTTACTGAAGAATCATTACATGAAATCTAATGTGTGGTTCACTCCTTCACTTTTGCTGGGATAGTTTTCAATAATTATGATAGTTTATTCTTTATCTTTTATTATTTGTTTCTAGCTTAGTTCCATTTTCTCAAGCATGCTTTTTGAGAATTAGAAAGGTAACTTGTGTATGTGAATGAAATACATTATAATTGTGGCATATGATTTGCATCTGAGTTCTGAAGTGAGCTTGTTTTTTTTCTTGTGCACTTTTCTGTATTGGGAAGAGGCTGCTGATTGAGATTCAAGCTTTATAAGCAATTGTGGTTGGGCAGAGCTATTCCTCTTAATGCTGACTTATTGTTGTTATGATTGATTTTGTTTTACTCAGAAGTCAGAATGTGGCATGATTCAAATATTTGACACTTTAATCATTGGCTTTTTCATTTTTGTAGGAAGCTGATTTAGTTTTGGGGGGTGATGATGGCAAGGAATGTACCTACAACAAAGGTTATATGAAAAGGCAAGCAATTTTCTCTTGCCTCACCTGTACTCCAGATGGGAATGCTGGAGTTTGCACAGCTTGTTCATTGTCTTGCCATGATGGTCATCAGGTAATTTTCTTCTGTCTCTAGAATTTTGGATTGCATTAATATAAAACTGGAAATGGATATGGATTTTTTCATTAATGCTTACCATTTGATGCTGAGTTGTGATAGTAATACATGTTCTAGTTAAATCATATGTTTGATTTTGTGAGGACAGCATGTGTTTTGAGAGGAAAATATTTAGTCATGTATAATTTCCACAGGGGAACCTGAGAATGTTTCCTTAAATTTCCAGTTGTTGATTTGTGTTGTACTCTAGATGTTTTATCTGGAGTCTCCTGGGTCCATGGTTACATGCTAATAATGTTACCATCATACTCTTTTTCTAACTTATAAGTAAATCATGATTAGGATTTATACATTTATTTATAGTGACCAGAATTTTTCTCGTGGGACATAAAGTTGGTTATTGGTGAAATATTGTATTGTATTTTGTGTCACTTATATTGGGCATGTTTTGATACTGGGATGGGTAAACTAAAAAAATTAAAAGGTAAAATAAGTGAAATTAAAAAAAAATAATATATATATATATTAATCAATAAAAAATTATAAACACTAAAGCACATATTGATTAGGCATGTTGTATTCGTCAATACTTATTATAATAGCTATACTTCTTTTTTGAACTTTTTTTTCTTTTACAACCGTTTTTTTTCTTTCTAAAACTTTAAAATAATAATATACATAAAGTATGAGTACCAAGTACTTTTTTCTTCTGTTCAAAAATTATAAAGATGATATATTTAATTAAAAAATCCTATATTTAATTTTTACCGTAACAAACAACTTTTGATAGAGATTAAATTTTGGCCCAATAAACACAGGCTAGTAAAAAAAACAATAAACACTATTTCAAAGCTCATCGGCCGTTAGATGTGACTGCACACAGGCTAGTAAAAAAAACAATAAACACTTTTTTCTTTCTCTTATTTGTTGCTTCAACACTATATAGAAGTGACAATTTTATTCAATTTTATTTCTTAAGATACTTATTAGTTTGATCTTGGAGATTGCACTTGAATTATGGAATTATATATTAGGACCAAATTACACTTCCTTTATCTCTAAATTGTACTGATACTAATTTATTTTTTTTATTTCAGCCTAGTGACGTTGAAAGTGAACCTGAATCACCGTTAGATGCTAGAGGATCATCTGGTGGTAGCAACTTGAATAGCGAGTCTAATATTTAGACCTAGTTTCTTATATTGTAGACTTCTTTAGGTTATCATGGTTTTTGAATTTATAAAGTGTTGTAAAAACTTAGTTTCTTTTGGTAATATATTGTGGTGTTGTATTTGCTGTCAACTTGGACTTCTGAATTAGCTTTGATTGTTGTTACTCTTTTGTAGTTATGTAACTTTCATTACTATCAATCCATTGTCCATTAGTTTCTATTGATAGTTTGTATTCCCATTAAATTTTTTTTATTATAAAAAAGTTAATATTATCTAATGGAATTTGGATTATGTTATAAGTACCTCCTTATTTTTTT